TGCTGACCTTGCAGTTTGCAGCCCGATTCATAACCACTGTGCTACCAGAGCTCCTTCTTGACTTCATTATACACTGATACCTCTAGTTCCCTATTTCAGTCTTATAAAGTTTGTTTTACTTTAAACATTTCTATACCTGGATTGAGTTCTGGGTGGTGTTGTCATGAATGTTGTCTGCTGTTGTTGGTTCTCACTCTATAAAGAACACAATTTAGCATTTTTTGTAAAATTGGTCTAATCATTATACATTCCTTTAATTTCTCTTTATCTACTTGGCAGTATTTTTCTTTCAGAGTTTTGTAATGTCATTCCATTGCCTTCTTGCCTGCATGGTTTCTGCTGAGAAATCAGAGCTTAGTTTTATTGGTTCTTTGTAGGTAACTTTTCATTTTTCCCAAGCTGTTCTTTCCTTGCCTTTGATTAATGGAAAGTTTGTATGTCTTGGTAATTTTATTTGGGGATCTGTCCTGTTTGGGTTTCATTCAGCTTCTTTTATGCTTATCTTCTCATCTTTCCTGATGTTAGGGAAGTTTCTTCTAACAAGTCTTCCAACAGTTTTCTCTGTGCTTGTCTTTCCTTTTCCTGAATTCCAATCACCATATGTTATTCCTCCTTGTGGTGTCCCAAATAAGTCTTAGGCTTTCTTTGGATATTTTCTCTGATTGTTCTTTTAGCATACTCGTATTGAGAGATTTTTCTTCAGTGCACTAATTCAGGCTTCCATTGTTTCTTATCTGCTGCTTTGCCCTTTCAATGTATTGTTCATTTCTCAGATCTTAGTATTAATCTTGTGGATTTCTAATTGCAGGTTTTGTATTGTTTCAAAGTTTGCATTTATTTTGTCTGTTTTTGTAGTGTTTTCTTGAATTCTTGTAAAGTTTTTATTTTATTCTCCTTCTTTTCCTCAATCTTTCTATCAATCCTTTGAAGGTATCTAATTATCATTATTTTGAATTATTTTTCAGTTCTATTACCTTTTCTTCCCCAGAAACATCTTCTGTATATTGGTCATTTGTTTGATTCATTCTCTCTTGTTCCTTGTCTTTGTTCATTGTCTCCTTGGCATTGTGAGGTTGCTGTGTATGTTTTATTAACAAACAAACAAACATGCAGTTATTGGACTCAGAGGGGAAAAATCTCTGGGGGCCTACTGTAATTCAAGGAGCTCACAAAGTGGTTGTGGAAGGGATGAGACAGCAGAGTTCCTGGCCCTAGATGGAGTTCCTATTGGCCTTAGTGTTATCTCTGTTCAGGGCACTCAATCCAATGGAGCTGGCTTCAGTGTCTGTTTAGGACCTCAGGGAAACTGGGGCAGGCTGACTGGTTAAATGCTGGTCTGGTGGCTTTGTAGCTTTTGTCGATCTGGAGCGGAGCCCAACTGAATGCAGGCACTAAAATGGCACACCAAAGGCTCAGCCGACCCCCACCTGATGCTGTCATTGCTCCCACCCATTCGGCTCCAATCTCCTGGAGAGCAGGGTCTGCAATGGGAGTGGATGAGGGTGGGAGCTGGCCATATTTCTGGTTACCGGAGTGGCATGGAAAAACAAGAAATTGCACTTTTTCTGTTGCCTGTACAAATCTGCTCTGCCAGGCCGCCCTCTGCTGCCATTGCTGCTCACAGAATGGTGGATCTGCATCTGGCCAGCCGTTCACCAGTCAGTCTCTCTTTCTTGTCACCCCTGCTTGGCCTCTACTCCCAGCAAGCCCTCTACCAACCTCTCTAACCTTTCTTTTGAAGTTCAGTGGCCCAAAATTTTCATTTTTGTCTCTTGTATCTTTGTTTAGAGGGTCCATGTACTGCATTTGCCTAATCCACCATCTTGTCAGAAGTCTCCCATACCACATTTCCTTATCTGCATACCAGTTGATGGCTATTTGAACTGTTTGAAGGTTTTTTTTTTTTATAAATATTGCTGTAAACATTCATGTCTAAGTATGTGGTCGTATTTTTAATTTTTCCTGGGTAGACTTTTGGAAGAGGCTCAGGAAATTGCAGAAGTTTTATTCCTACTGGCCTTTAGTTTACTACAGATGTTAATTTTACAAAAATGAAGGTAGTGTTGGGAGTTTTGAGGCAAGAGATAATGGTTTGGTTTAATATTCCAAAGGGAATGTGAAAGAGAGCTGACCGAAGGCAAGTAAAAGGAATGTTAAGTGGCATGCATGTTCCTGCTGAAATTGAGGACTACTGCCTCTCTGTGGTTGTGGTAGAGGAGAGCAGTAGCAGAATGAGGGTAGAAGCAAAAAAGAAGGATATGATCAAAGTATGATGTTGTAATTAAAGTTCTGATAGGGTACAGATGAAGATTGTTTTTGCTTATAGATATTTAGGACTCCTGGTGTGGCACTGTAGGATAAGTACTGGACTGCAAATCACAAGATCAGCAGTTCAAACCCACCAAGTACTCCTTGGAAACCCTATTATACAGGGTCCTTATGAATTGGAACTGACTTGATGGCACTAAATACTTATGTCACTGAGGCTTATTACATGACAGGATAGACAGATAAATATCCAGTGAAAATAGGGTAGTCAGTTGGGGGAAAGACTACATATTAGCAAGTATATGTGTCAGGGTCCAGTCAGGAGACAGAAACTTAACTATACTAGTTATTTGAAGAGAGAACTTGCATGATTAGTTTAGTTAAATTGTTGCTAAATGCCATCAGTCAATTCTGATGCACGGCGACCCTGTGCATAGTTTCCAAAGGAGCAACTGGTAGATTTGAACAGCATACCTTGAGGTTAGTAGTCCAGTGCTTATCCTGCAGTGCCATACTATGACTCCAGTTAAATAGTTGTGAAGTGCCATCGAGTTGATTCTGACCCATAGCAACCCTGTATAGGGTTTCCGAGGAGCAGTCGGTGAGCTTGAACCGCTAACCTTGCAGTTCAAATGGCTTTGCAGTCTGGCGCATTAACCCACAGCGCCACACCCAGCGTGGTAAATTGGGTGTTTGAAGGAAATGAGATGGTTTTGTTTAAGCACTAAAGTGGAGGGAACATTCAGTTTATGCTAGCCAAGTCTCAAGGGTGGAAACTTTTGAATTTTTAAAGAGATGTTACAATACTGAGTTTCAAGCCATTTTAACAGTACTTGGCCTGTTAAGTTTGGCATAAATGTTTAATTAGTTATATAAGACTGTTTCTTCATTATGCTAAGTGAAATGTCAGGCATAAAAGAATAGATCTTTATGCTTCTATTTATATTTGCCTAGAATAGGCAAATGCATACTCAGTAGTTTATTGGTGTTTATTAGAGGCTAGGGAAAGGGAGGAATAGAGAGTTACTGCTTATGGGGTACTGAGTTTCTGTTACTATGACAAAATATTCAGAAATAGTGGTAATGGTTATAAATCAAAGTGAATATAATTAATGTCATTGAATTGTTCGCTTAAAATGATTAAAATGGCAAATTTTATGTCATACATAATTTACAAAAAAATGTTTTTAATGAAATATAAGTACTTTAAAAGAATAGGGGTGGGTGGCAGGAATCGGACTCTTGAGTGGCGTCTAGGCCTCTGTGGAGGCAAATCCAGCGATCATCTGAGCCATCAGAACCACCACCATGACTGTTGGCAAGAGCAGCAAGATGCTGCTGCATATCAACGACAGGATGAGGTGCATCCTGCAAGATGGCTGAATCTTTAAGGCTTTTCACAAGCACATGAACTTGATCCTCTGTGACTGTGATGAATTCAGGAAAATTAAGCCAAAGAATTCAAAACCAGTAGAAGGGAAGAGAAGTGAGTGAGTCCTTGGTCTGATGCTGCTGCCAGGAGAGAACCTGGTCTCAATGACTGTTGAGGGACCTCCTCCCAAAGAGACTGGCATTGCCTGAGTACCACTTACTGGAGCAGCTGGAGACCCAGGGATCCATAGGGCCACGGGCAGAGGCATTCCAGCTGGTGTTCCAATGCCCCAGGCTCCTGCAGGACTTGCTGGACCAGTCGGAGGAGTTGGTGGGCGTTGCCAACATGTGATGACCCCACAAGGAAGAGGCACTGTTGCAGCTGCTGTGGCTGCTGCCACAGCCAGCATAGCAGGGGCCCAGACCCAGTACCCACCTGGCCACACCTGGCCACGCAGGCCCTCACCACCTATGGGCACCCCCTCCAGGCATGATGGGTCCACCTCCTGGTATGAGGCCTCCCATGGGTCCCCCAATGAGAATCCTTCCTGGACGAGGGACTCTAATGTGCATGCCCCTTCCAAGGATGCCGCCATCTCCCCCAGATATGTGAGGGCCCCCTCCCCCAGGAATGTGCCCACCAAGGCCCTAGACTCATCTTGGCCCTCCTCAGCTTCTTGCTTGTTTTCTGTAAGGCAGTACATGGTTCTTGTGTTTCCTTGTAGCCTGCGAAACTAGTTTGTAATAAACTTTTGAGAGAATATTATAAATGTAAAAAAAAAAGGGGAGGGGGAAGATCTTACTACATGATTTTAAAATGTACTTATTCATGTATATTTTCCAGTCTTGGTAAAATCAAATATAATTGAATGATATGAGGGATTTTTCTCAAGGAAATTTTTGACCAGATAAAACTTATAAAAGTGATGGCTGTATAGATACCAATGATGCTTAAAAGTTGACTCACTTTTACTTGTAAGTCAGGTGTTAATAAATGTGTGACCAGCCTCTGACGAATTAGGTTTTTTTACCAAATTTTTGCAGGAGAGGGAAAGGGGCTGATGTTTTTAATGTGAAATTATTTTTAAATGAGAGTAAAAAAGATAATTCCCAATTTTTTATGGCTTAGTAATTTGTTAGTAACTTGATTGCTTTTACTTCTAAAACTTCATGACATGAACGTTATGTCAGGCAGTGTAAAAATTAGCCAGACCTTGCTTTTTTTACTCTTCAAAGTAAACTCTATAATAATAATAAAGTTATCTTGGTGTTTTCTTTTAATGTCTAGTTTCTGACAATCTGTGAAGTTGGTCCTGCAAATTCCATGTGCTAATTTTATATTTTACTTTTTATTTTTAAAGAACCAGCACCGAGCAGTAGATCAAGTAATTAAAGCTGTAAGAAAAATCTGTAGTGCTTTAGATGGAGTGGAAACTCTTGCCATTACAGAATCTGTAAAGAAGCTACGGAGAACAGTTAATCTTCCAAAGAGTAAAAGTTCTGATGTGAGTAGTTATTAGTAACTAGTATTTTATTACATATAGATCTATATTTGAGTGTCTGCCCTCAAACTGAGAGATGTTTGCATACTGCTGGATACAATTTTTCCATTTTAACTTAGGTTTTCACCTTTAAGTTGAATTGTTCAGTTTGGTATGGTGGTGGTGTGCTGTGGAGTCAGTTCAGACTCATAGCAACCCTGTACAGGGTTTCTGAGGCTGTAAATCTTTACAGGAGCAGAAAGCCTCATCTTTCTCCCACGGAACAGCTGATAGTTTTGAACTGCTGACCATGAGGTTAGCAGCCCAATTTGTAACCACAACACTACCAGAGATGATAGGTGAGAAAGAAAGAAAGGAAACAATAAAAGAACCAACCATCCCTCCCACATCACTCTGTACTCATACTGCATTCAATAATCCATTGCAGTATTGCAGTACCCACATAGTACTCAAGAGACACTACTCACAGTTGTGGGTTTATTAGGGAAGTTGTTGTCAAGTGCCGTCAATTCAGTTCCCACTCATAACAACTCCTGTGTAGGGTTTTCAAGGAGCATCTGGTGGGTTTGAAACATTGACCTTGTGGTTAACAGTCTAGTGCTTATCCTACAGCACCACACCAGGACTTCAAGGAAATTAGCAAATTATGATTAAGGGCACAGTTCTTACAGTCAGGACATCCTCTCTCTGCCATGCCCACAGGCAGACCTCTCTCTGTCCCTTGGCCTGATCTTTGCCCTGCTCCCAAAATGCTGTGAAGCTCTTTTAAAGCTGCCAATAAATTCTCACAGGACACACAACTTCACCATAAGCATCACCCTGAAGGCACTTGACTCTAGCTCTGGGGATCAGCAAACCTAGCTCCCTCAGTTAAGTGCATGGAGACATCCCAATCTGCAGGCAATCTTCTTGGCCAGTCACTCAGCTTTACTTGCTCTGTGAGCTGGGAAGCCCACTGCTCTGTCTCATGCTCTGGTTCTCGGTTCTAGTGCTGCTGATTCTCTGCCTTTCCTCCATTGTCACAGCTTTCTGTCCATGAGGTTTCTAGGTCCAAATGATGTGCTCCACTCCTGGCTCCTCTTTGATGGTAGTGAGATTCTCCCCCTCCTAATTCTGAGATGGCTCACTTAAAACCTATGTTAAAGTTCCAAGTTTTTACAATCACTATGAACTCTGTTGACAATCACAATTGAAACATATCACCCTATCAGCATCTTCTCCCACCTTTTCTTGTCCAGACCCACCAGGAAAAAGTTGTTTGGTGGGAGTTACAAAGATTGAATAGAAGAGTCATATAATGTAACACACTGCACTGCAGGCCACCTTCTGGCTTCTGTAGCCATTGGCCCTTTCATACTTTAATGATGAACTTTGTTCATAGCAATAATTTTAACTATACGCATACCCATGAAAGCTTTGTAAACTAGCCACTTCATGCCTTTATCTCGTTCCATTTTGGATATCCAATTTCGGAATTACCCATCCCTATCGACCTTGTGGAGTCCTGCTGTGGTGCTGTGGGTTAATGCGCTGGACTGCAGAGTTGGTTTGCATTGTAAGGTTGGCGGTTCAAACTCACCAGCTGCTCCTAGGAAACCCTATTATACAGGGTCGCTATGAGTTGGAACTGACTTATGGCATTTAACAACAACAAACTCTGTTGTAGACAAGCACGTTCCTTGACGTGAAGATTCTTCTGTTCCTATTGAAACTTGGCATTCATAACACAAAATCCATTCCAGAGCATGCCATCAAAGTGCAGCAATTTGCATCAGTTTACAGGATTCTTGGTGTGACGCTGTAGGTAAGATAAGTACTGAACTGTGAACCACAAAGTTGGTGGTTCCAACCCACCAGCTGTACCTTGGAAACCCTATACAGGGTCTCTATGAGTCAGAATCGACTCAAAGGCACTTAACAACAACAACAACACAGTATCCAACCAACATCTTTTGTCTTCATTAAGGTGGGTTTTTGGTCAGATCACTCCTGGCCATCCATTTGAGTTAGCTCAAATGCTATCAGCTGCAAGCTTGGGAGGCCACATACTCCTGCCTGTCCTAAAAGCCAGCTAGCTGGCCCCTTCACTGTCTCTCAGCTGGTAGCCTATATTGTCTAGGCCACTGCCTATAGGCTTGAAGTCCACACAACTCCCTAAGCTTCAGACCAACCAGCCCTTCCTCTTCTCTCTATCAAGTTGTCTCTTCATTGCTGCATATTCCCCACTTCCAATTGTTGAAGAGGAGCCAGGTGGTCACCAGTGACCTTGCTGGTTCCTTTTAACTTTCAGTTCTAGAAGGGGCAAAGATTTTTCTTTTAACTTTCATTTCTCTAATGGGCACAGATTTTCCTGCCTCAATGCATTTAGCAGCATACTGCTTGCTCAAAAATTTTAAATGCCAATCATTTTTCTTTCTGTACATCTTTCCTTCAAAAGTAAGTCTCCTCAGCCATCTGAGCAGTGCTCAGGTTTTCACCTAAGCCCCCATACTGTACAAAGGCATGAAAACAAAAAGCCTGTTTCTTCTGGGCCATTTCTAGTTCCCCTTACAAGTTTTCTGTATTCAAGATACCTTATAACCATTTCTATTTACATATGACCTTGGACCTCTGACTGGCAGGGTAGATCAAGCCTTGGCTCCCTATTAGTCATTTTGTTTAACCAGCCAGACTTTTGCCCCAGACTTTTGCAGTTTTTCTCCCCTGACCTGCAGCATAACATATTTTACATTTCTTTCAACTATTATTAGTAGCAATAACCAAAGTAACCTTAGAATCAAAATTTTTACTTCCCATTTTCCTTTGGCTTTTATCTTACAAAACCCCATGCTTCAATGAGTGTGGGGCCATGGCTACAAACCCTACTTCTGACCCCAATTCTGGAAAAAAAAGATCATCCCTACCACAACACTCTTTATTCATGCTAGGTTCAATTATGCATTTCAGCAGCCACACAGAATTCTGAGACAATACTCACAGCTTTGGGGCTTATTAGAGAAGTAAGTAGGCTCTGTTCAGGGCACAGTGAGGAATTCCTAAGAAGAGATGGGCTTCCTGTAAGATTTTTTGATTGTTGACATTGAATGGATGCCAAATTGGGAACACTTAGTATGTAGAGTAGGAACTCTGAGTTGGTTGGAGGTTTAAAAGATCTGGATGGAGGGCAATAGCTTCCACTTCTCCATTTGGATGGAAATGTGCATGATTGCCAGTCAGGGGAGTTCTGCTTTGAATCATAATACCCCCTTGTTGAAGAAAACCAGAAACTTCCATAGTAGTGACTACTGGCCTCAGGCAACCAGTAGGAACCATCTCTTGATATGATACTATTGCTTTTAATAAATTAGTGTCTTCTAGTATTTCTTTGGAGCCCTGTTGTGGCACTGTGGGATAATGCTCCAGACTGCAAAGCCTTTTGAACTGTTAGGTAGGCAGTTCAAGTTCACCAGCCACTGCTTGAAAACACTATACAGGGTCACTATGGTTTGGAAACGACTCGGTGGCACTTAACAACAACAAGAAGTATTTCTTTAGGGGTTTAATTAACTTTTTTCATAGAAATGTTTATATCTTTGATTGAAAGAATGAAAGAGAAGATGGATCTCACAAGCCATGATAAATTTAAAGGGAAGGAAAGATTATGTTGCTGTTCATTCAGTAGATTATCTAGCGATGTCTATATATTCATTCTCAGAGCTATCCACATGGAATATAAAGATCTGGGACTATTTTTTCCTTTTACTCAACTATGTACTTATTTTTAAGGAGCTCTGGTAGCGTAGTGGTTACGAATCGGGCTGCGAACCTTAAGGTCAGCGGTTCGAAACTACCAGTCGCTCCACGGGAGAAAGATGAGGCTTTCTACTCCCGTAAGGATTTACGCCCTCGGAAACCCTGTAGAGGGTCGCTATGGGTCGGACCCGACTCGATGGCACTTAACAACAACAACAACAACATGTACTTATTTTTAGAAATATGAAATAACATATAAAATCACAGAGGTGATTACCCACCCACTGTCATCAAATTGATTACAACTCATAGCGACCCTGTGTAAGGTTCCCGAGTCAGTAAATATTTTCAGAAGCAGAAAGCCTCAACTTTCTCCTGTAGCATGGCTGGTGGGGTTTGAACTACCAACCTTATGGTTAGTAGTTCAGTACTCATCCTACAGCACCAACAGGGCTCCTTGATATAGTCTGAATCTTCTATTAATTTTACTCATTTGCTGGATTAAAAGTGCAAATGAAAGGGAAACTCAATTTACATGATTAGTAAGGGCTTTCTGTGTCACCAAGTGGTAGCAAATAGAGTTCTAGCTTCTTTTCTTTAAGAGTATTCTTATCACACTGACACTAGAGCAGCTAGTAGAAAATAAAATAATGCACTATCGTTTATCATCCCTGGGTTTCAAATTAATGTTAATTACTTAGTTGGCTTAATGAAATCGTTTTTTGTTATATTTTCTTTTTCAGTTACTTTATGATTTTATTGAAATCATCTATTTGATTTTTAAGAAATAGTTTTCTTTGATTTGAAGTTTCACTTTATTTTTGCATTTCTTATTGTTTGCACACATTTTTGGAAGGTTTCCCCTGGGAATGTTGTTTTGTTTCCTTTCTTGCATTGAATTTAAATTATTAAAGTTAAAGCTGAGCATTTTATATCATGGGTAGTTTTCTGACTAATTTGTGTATGTATGTACAGGTGAATTCGTTGTCTGGAGGAGACACTAGCAAGAGTTCATCTAGGGGTATGTCTTTAAGTTCTTTTATTTTAATAGTAACTATTGCTTTTTCAGATAATTGTATAAATTTTTTTGTTTGTTTTAAACCTAGGCTCACTGCATCCTGAAAGTCCTATTCAAGTAAGCATGGACCAATTATCTGAAGCAGTTTATGATCTTCTCAGACTGCATGCAAATTCAGATACAAGTCCTGCTGATCATGCCCAAAGTAGCAGGAGTATCAAGGAAGCATGGACCACAACAGAACAACTTCAGTTTTCTATTTTTGCTGCACATGGAATTTCAAGTAACTGGGTATCCAAGTAAGTGCCTGTTTAAAAGAAAATATGCTCAACTTTGCCTTAAAGCCATTCCAATCTTGGAAAAATATCAGCAACCATTGTTGTCTTGGTATTTAAATGGATAATACAAAAATCATTATATAATTTCATAGTTTTCATAGAAATTACAGAGATGTTTGAAGCTGTTTCACAAAAAATGTCACCACATATAAGAGTAGGAAAATACATGTTGAAATTTACAAAAACAACTATCGACCAATAAATTTATTAATTTAAGACTGTAATCCTTTGTATCTTTTAGTACCAGAGTAATTTAAAACACTTCTGCAGAACAAAATTTCAAGATTTTTTTTTTTTTTTTTAACCTTCTTTGGTGGTAGTGGAGTCAGTTCTGACTCATAGTGACCCTGAATAGGGTTTCTGAGGCTGTAAATCTTTACAGAAGCAGAAAGCCTCATCTTTCTCCCATGGAGTGGTTGGTAGTTTTGAACTGTTGACCTTGAGGTTAGCAGCCCAACTTGTAACCACTACGCTACCAGAGCTCCTTAACCTTCTTTACTGGTTTACACTTATTTGGCTTTGAGGCATTAAATTCTACAGATGCATTAGTTCTTCTATTAAAACTTTAATATAGGTTTTCTTTTTTAGTCTTTTAGTCAATGCCATAATAACATTATAGTAAATGTTCACCAATTGGGCTTTAAATGTAAGAGTAATATAATGTGAAAGTGATATATTAATTCATTTAGTAAATATTTACTGAGCACCAGCTATCAACTATGTTTTTAGTACTTGGGATAGAGGAATAAACAAGGCAGAAAGGGAAAAAAAACAACCACATCCTCATGGAACTTCCATTTAAATGGGTGTTACACTCCACGTTCTCTCCTGATACACACACACACACACACACACACACACACACAGATGCATTTAGACACTAAGAAGGAAGACAAATACCCAGTAGAAGACAATGTAAAAAACGACAGTGATAATTTTGGATAACTGGTGGAAAGAAAGTTAATAAGATGCCGAAGTAAATTGGGAGAAATGGATTGAGATTGAAAAAAGGAAAACAAATAGTTTGGGTTTTTATGAACCAATGAAATTAGACTTGAAATATATTTAGAATGATGATAGTTTGCATATTTGAACAAAAGGGTTAAATATGTAACCTAGCAGTAAGAATACAAGTTGGTTATTTTATAGTCTATATCTCTGTAACGGAGTCCTGGTGTGGCTCTGTGGGTTAATGTGTCAGACTGCAAAGCCATTTGAACTACAAGGTTGGTGGTTCAAGTTCACCAGTCGCTCCTTGGAAACCCTATACAGGGTTGCTATGGGTCGGAACCAACTCACAGCACTTCACAACAACAACAACAAATCTATGTAAAAAACATATGTCATTTTAACAGTCTTCACATGTAGTTTGATGACATTAGTTATGTTAGTTGTTTTTTAAGCATTACCCTTATATGAAATTCAGTGTCCCTAAGCATTGAGTCCTTTTTTCCCGCTCCCTCCTGCCTGCTCCTAGGAACTGCTAATCAGCTTTGGTCTCTGCACTTGTCTCTTACAGATATTTTATGTAAGTGGGATCCTACATTGTTTGTCCCTTTGTGATGGACGTATCTCATTTAGAATAATATTTTCAGGGTTTATACATGTTGTAGCAGATATTATTGTTGTTAAGTACCATGGAGTCGGTTCCGACACATAGTGACCCTGCACAGGGTTTCATTTTTCCTCATAGCTGAGTGTAATATTCCATTGTATATATGTACTACATTTTGGGTATCCATTCATATCTGCTGATGGGTATTTGGGTTGTTTTTACCTTTGGGCTATTATGAATAGTGCTTCAATGATAAATATAGTTTCAATGAACCCAAGATTCCTGCCTTAGAAGACTGATTGTACCTAACCAGCTCTGTACTTGGGATAATTAGGGATTACTGATGGCAGAACACAACAGCATCTATCCCCATGGATGAAAGCTTTCCAATTGACTGGAAGGGCTGACTCAATCAAGTCAGGTCCATTCATTAATAATATGATTAGATGAGTCCATTTGAATGACTTAGCAAAGGAAAATAGCTAGTAAAAGTAATATTTGCACTCTCTTCCTAGAATGTATTTAGAAGTGAAAGAATACAGTATTCAGTATTATTCATCTCAAAACTAAAGAAGTAATTATAACTGAGCACAAGATTGAACAATTGAGATAAATTCTCAACTATTATCATTATGGCACACCTTAGCCTGGCATCTAGAGATATGTGTTAATTTCTGCTACATCTCTTCTCTATTTTTAGAGTTTACAGTGGTTAAACTTTACATCAGTTTCCAAAACTTCAAATAAATGGTAATCACATTATCTCAAATAGTAGTTACTTTGGGGGAAGAACTAATAACTATATGTATTTGTATTCATTGACTAATTTTTGTTATCAAAATAAAATCAAACTATTTCTTCCTGCAGTTATGAAAAGTACTACTTGATATGTTCCCTGTCTCATAATGGAAAGGATCTTTTTAAACCTATTCAATCAAAGAAGGTTGGCACTTATAAGAATTTCTTCTATCTTATTAAATGGGATGAACTGTAAGTGAAATTTCTGGCTTTTTATTCTTTTAGTATACCCTGTGCTTTTATTTTTTATGTATGCATTCTAGCTTTTGTTTTTATTATAATTTCCATTAAGCTTCATTCAATTCTTACTGATACTCAGTTCTTACTGACTTTTTAAGGTGTCATTGAGATATAATTCTGTAAGATAGACTGACATTTTCATTAAAAAGTTGGAAAGATTTTTAAAAATCTACATACAGTTAAATTGCAGAAATCTGCCATTAATTCTTCTTTGACTTTAACTTAAATATGAATGTTTACATACAGGTCTCCTATAAAGCAATGTTCTATAGCATTGCTTACCGTAAGATTTATTCTATAACACTGTATGAATATATTTGAAGCATGGCTGTTGATTAACATAAAGTGCTACTCTTAAACCCACTCATAGCAACCCTGCATAGGGTTTCTGAGGAGTGATTGGTGGGCTTGAACCTTCAACCTTGCAGTTATCAATCCGGTGCTTGTCCTACAGCATGTAAAAGATAGTATTTTTTAACTGTTAATATTTTTAAATGTTATGATTGGTTGAAAGCAAAGCTGATGGTCTTGTCTGTTTACCTTCACTCAATTCACAGTAAAAAGTTGGCAAAAAAAATTTTTTTTTTAATGCTTTTAACCTAAGGGAATTCTTTCAGCATTTAGGCAGATAAGTTGCAGAGTTTCTAACCTTTTGTTCCACA